CAGCCTCTCAACGGACCAGAAGCTGGACAGAGGGGTCTGTTTCCTGCCAAGCCCAGAAACACCCCCTGCACATCCCTCCCCGTCCTCTGAAACGCATACCCAAGGCTCCTGGTCAGGGCTTGTGGCTTACAATTGCACTAAATTCTCAGCAAATCCTCCTCCTCTTCTTTCTCAAAGCAAGTGGTGGAGATAGAGTTACAGCTCCGGGGAAAGGCCTGGAAAATGCTGTGTGAGGCCCGCCCCGGGATCCCTGTCCTGAAGGATGCAAATGGCGCGGCTTCAGAGGCACCAGGAACCCAGTTCCCGAGAAATTGACCCCAGTTGTAAAATAATCATGTTACTGATAGCACCTGCCCGAAGCTACACACCATGGACACAGGCGCGTTTCCACCATTTCCCTCGCGCTCCCATTTTCTCCTCCTCCTGGGCTGGGCAGTGGTTGGTGCTAGTTTGCTTGCAGAGGGGGAAGAGCCTCAGAGCCTGGGCAGGGAGAAACTGAACCTGCCCGTGAATTTTGAACTGCAGATAAGAGCAGAGAGGGTTTGGGCTCCTCTCCCTCTGCCCAGATTGGGGTGTGTCCCAGGCGCTGGCTGGGTGCTGTCTGCCTGCCCCCTCCCATCCTGAGTTCCCTTTTCAGAAGGGCAGTTGGCTGGATCCCTCTGTGAACCACACTGGCTTAGGCCCTTTGGTGCCGAATAAATGGTGGGCTTTACCAGCATGTGGGCGAGGCTGCAGCTTCAGGGTGTCTGAGGTCAGAGGTAAGAGGAGTCAGGGCAGCTCTCCAGCCAGTCGCATGGGATCTGAAGGGAGGGGGCCCGGAGTAATGGGTTGTACTAAGTGTCATTAGAGTTTGTTTACAGAGAGAAATTAGTAGACCGAATTCCCTTGAAGTTCCAGGTGGGGAAAGCGAGAAGTCTCTGGCTGTGACTATGACTTCTGGGCGAGTAAGGGGAGCACTCGAGGTCTGAGCACCGGCCTCGCACCGACACCCCTGGCCTGGGCATATTTTGCCCCTCTGCCCCGTTGCCGGTGGGCTCTGAGGTATGTGCACTGGTCATTGCTCCTGGAGCTTCGGCTCAGAGGAAGTGGGTGAAGTCAGTCTATCCTCTGCCGCTGGGGGCTCCGTTCAGCAGGTGAGGTGCAAAGGGGTCTTGGGAAGGCTTCTCCCCGAGGCCAGTCCTGACAGCGAAGGTGTGGAAACTAAGTTTGATTGGGACTTGCTTCCCCACGCCCACCCCCAAGTTAGGTTTAATGGACTCGGTTGCTCACTTTAAAATATTGCTGTAGCAGCAAGTGTCAAAATCTTACATAGAACCATCACTCACATAATAGGGACTCATGTAGCAAACCCCGGGGCCGTGAGGAAACTTGCTGGGGAGAGGATGATTGTCAGAGAGCTGTGGAGGGGATTTCACAGCCCCCCCCTCCCCCCTCTGCACTTACAAGTGGGTCAGAGTTTCTTGCTGGTCTCTTTCCCTGGATAACAAGGTCCTGGAGGAAAGGAAGCCTGCCTTAGTCATTATGTCCCTAGCACAACACCAGCTCATAGTATGTGCTCAGTAAATGTGTGTCAGCTTTGGAGAGGGAGCAAATATAGCTTAGTCTCCCATGAGTTCCTTTTGGATCTCATCGTGAGACACATTGTTAAGGAATCTGGTTTTGTTTTGTGTGTTTTATTGGAGGGAGGAAGTGTGGTGAGGCAGCGTCTTGGTGTGGTGGCACCGTGGTGTGGGCTCTGGGCAGACTGTCTGGCTTCAGATCCCAGCTCTGCCATTACGTAGGGTGCCCGTGAGCAGGTACCACAGATAGGCCTGGCCGGGTGCCTGCTTTATGGAGGGGGCTGTTGCAAGGAAAGCTCATAGACCCTTGCCCTGAAACCCCTGAGTGTGGACACTGCATGCGGCCTTCATTATCAGGTGATTGCAATGTCAATGCAAACGTTAGCCCAGCTCTTCCCAATCTGGGCCATCAGAGCAGGGGGGATAAGAGGGATCATTTTGGTGAACTGTTAAGCTTAGGCTTTGCTATAAGAAGGAGACCTTGCCAGCCAGGGTCCGAGTTTCCTATGGTCTCCACTCAAGAACTGTATGCAGTGGGACCAAGTCCTTAATTGTCAAACTGATGCCACATTGTCATTAAATACCAGTATCATGCCAGGCAATTCAGCCAGTTCAGTACTAGTAAGTCTGCCATGCTTTGCGGGAGGGTCTAGGGAGCATACTGCCTGGTCCCACACTTTCTTTGTTGTGGTTTGGTTTGGTTTGGTTTGCTCCCCACTCTTGAAAGGGCTTAAAGTTTTTCTGGGGGAGATAGGGCAGAGCCCCACATGCTACGGCTGAGGGGCGGTGGGGATGACTGACTGACTGACTGACAGGGCTAATGGTACAGGCAGACAGGTTGTGTAAGAAAGGAATGGTGAAGACTTAGCTGGAGAAGTTGATGGAGAAGGCGGTGTGTTTGGAATTTGGGTCATGGGGCTCCACAGTGGTCTGGGCATTCCAGGTGAGACGGACAGTTGAGCAGAGGCAAGGAGAGTGGGTCTGGGCCTCCGGGATTGTACACATCTGGCTCTGCCACTTGTTACCTCATGACCTTGGGCGAGTGCCTTAATCCCTTGGAGCCTCAGTTTTCTTATCTGTAGAATGGGACTGGTGGGCCTTGTAAGGATGAAATGAGGTGCTCCAAGGGAGCACTTGCCACCTGATAAACTTGGACTTCTGTTGTTGTTTTAAACTTGACCAAGTAGCATAAGAATGTGGGAGCCATCAGTGCTGCACCTAGTGGTTCTTGCTTTTTCCTGCTTCTTAGTGGAACTCTCTACAAGCTGTTCTCTGAGCTGGAGACAGCCCTGCCCAAGGCTGTGTGCATCTCGGAGGGGACACTCCTGTGTGGCTGCTGCTCAAACACACCCGCCTGTGCCACTACCTGGAGCGCTTCTGGGTAGGCTGCCGCCCGGCCACCGTCCTCCCTCCCTGCAGGCCTCTGCCTTTGTTCCCAGCAGCGAGGTCCTCCCTGGCCGCTCAGGCTCCGGCCTGCAGGCCCCTCTCCCCTCGGACCCAGCTTTATTCTGCTCTGAACCCCTCATCACCACCACCACCATGTGTTTTTCCTGATTGTCCACCTCCCCATCTGGGCAGAATGCACAGGAGGACCAGCTGTCTTATCCACAGCTGAATTTTGTGCTGGGTTCATAGTAGGTGTCCAATAAATACCGTTGAATGAATGGATGGGGCATTTTGAGTGGACGGGGCTTCCAGATGTTAATACTCAGTCTTTTCAATACAATGAGTGTGTCAGCCGTCAGAGTCGGGAGAGGGCCTCCCTACTTCCACCAGGATCTCCGTTCACACCCTGACCTCAGTGTCCCTGGGCAGCCAGGGGCCCAAGCGAGGGTGTCCCTGGTCCTGACGCCACGTGCCTGGCTGGACTCGGTGCCTCTAAGGGTCTGCTCCCCCCCCAGCAGCACCGGGGAGCGTTTGCTGGCCCTCTGGACCCTTTGTGGGGAGAGAGCCTTCTGAAGGGGGGTGTGCCCTCCGGGTGTGAGAACACTGTAAGGGAGCGTGTTTTCACCCAGGGGAGAGTGTGGGTGGATGTGCCTGTGGGAGGGAGGCAGAGTAAGTGCATGTGGGGGTGGGGGGTGGGGTGGGAAGAGAGGGGATGAAGACACATGAGGCTCTCCACCCTCCGAGGCTCTGAGTGTGCTGTGTGGTGACCCCGGAGCTGGGCAGAGCTGGTGTCCTGGCCCAGCCTGAGTCCTCTGGATTCAGCTGGGAGGGCACACACTCTGGCTGCACAGAAGCCGTAAATTCCAGGAAACTCCCTGCTAGCCCTGCGGAGTGGGGGAGGGAGTGGAGGCGAGGCAGGCTGGTTCCCCAGCACTGGGAGAACAGATGTGTCTGCCTCAGGGATAGCAGCAGAAGAAAGTTCAAACTGAAGTGTGTTTGCTCACTATAAAAGAGATGTTTGGGAGGAGGCCCTGGAGGGGGGGTGGTGTGGGGGTGCTCCGCCAGGTCCTCCCCGGGGCCCGCAGAGACCATTGTGTCTCCCCGGAGGGGCAGGGGAGTGGGCAGTCAGAAATCAGGGCTGTGGGAGTTGCTGGGTCATCTTTCTGAGATTTACAGCCAGCTCCCAAGCACAGTTGCTTGCTGCTCCTGAAAGAGGCCGGCCGGAGGAGGTGGGGTCCCTCCCCACTGGAGGGCTGGATTGAAGGGGCCCCGCCCCAGGGGTTCCCGGATGACTGGCCAAGTGCTCACTGAAGCCAGTGAGGGGAGAGGGGGCAGGCGTGGGCCTCTGCAGCAGGCCCTCCGGCTGTTTGGAAGGCCCTGGCAGTCCCCCAGGCCCTTGAGCCGAACCCCCTTTGCGGTCTGATCCGAACCCTTGCCGGCCCCACCCCCTTCCTCCTCTACACTCTGGGGCTGGCCTTTTCAGCGCTGGAAGCTGCCCAAGAGCATATCTTTGAAGCACAGCAAAGGTTAGGAAGAAGGAAGACAGAAATGTCCTCTGGGCTGGGGGAGTGGGAGAGAGGAATTCCATGCATGCTCCCTGGGAGTCAGGGGGGTAGGCCTGGTGGGACGATTGGCTTGGCCTGGGAGGTGCCCAGCGCGTCCCGCTGCCCACTTCTGGCGGCCGGGCCCTGCTCACAGCGGGCCCTCTCCCCAGGCTGCGGTGCGGGCAGGGAGTGGGGAGCTGTGGCCTTTGTTTGCAGCGCCTGCTTCAACCTTGGCTCACAAGGGTAAGAGCCAGGCCCTGCCATCCGCCCCTACAGGATGCGAGACCTCGTAATTGTCTTCAATTACAGAGCTCCGGCCCTCAGCCCTGGCTTCCGACAGGAACCAGAGCCCGCGCCACTTCCACGGGGGCTCCCAGCCGCCTCTGCAGGGTCGGGAGGCTCCCGTGGTCTCCGGAGCACTTGCAAACGCCTGGGGTTCGCTCACGGGGCTGCCTGGGGGCTGCTGAGAGCCCGTCCCTGTTGAACACCCACCTTCTTTGTCCCCCATCAGGATGAGACTTCTGTGAGCAGTGAAGATTTTGATATGAACGACTCCACATGGATGTCAGCTGACCCACACCTGGCCTCCAGCCTGAGTCCCAGCCAGGACGAGAGGATGCGGAGCCCACAGCACCTCCACAGCCAAGAGGACGGTGAGCGTCTCGGCGGCTGGCGGGGGGAGGCCGCGCAGGACCACAGGCGCCTGGGATCTGGGCCAGGCCCTCGGGGGTGGCCCGGGCTTACAGGTGCCACACAGTGTCCTCCGCGTCTCCAGCTCCTGGCTCCAGGGAGACCACGTCATTCCTCCCAAAGAGAAAGGAAGGGCTCTCGGGGACCGGTCACCCGACGGGCATCACGCTGGCTTGTTTGTCCTGATGCTCAGGAGCTGATGTGATTTCTGAGTTATAACGATTCAGGTTGGGAAGGTTAACAGTGTGCTTGACCTGGAACAGCTCATTTGTGCGGCAGTGAAAGCAAGCGCCGGGCTTCTGCCGCTGCCGGGACAGGGCCCCTGCCTGTCGCCTGGCGGTGGAGCGGGCAGTGCCCTTGTCCACGTGTCCCCAGGCCCGTGGGGTGAGATGTGGCCGAGTTGAGGAGCTATCCGGACTCTTCCCTACCCTGGTCCTGTGCCTCCTGGGCCTTCCAGGCACCGCCTCCCGCCGCCCTGAGAGCAGACTTCCTCTTTGGGGTGGGAGAGTTGGGCTCAGGAGTCACGCCCAGCGGCTACTGCAGTGCCCCCTGGTGGCAGCCCCAGGGTGCTGGGCACGGGCTCCGGGGCCTGCCTCAGTTCGGTGCTGTTGGCCTCAGCTGGCACCTGTGGTCAGTGTCCTGGCCGGGTTCTGTTTTCTGGGGAGGCGGTGACTGGGGGAGGGGGTGAACCACACCAGGCCTCAGAGAACCGGGGTGTAGAGCTGGCAATTAGGAGGGGTCGAAGGTCGGGGCCTGGAATGTGAGAAGGAGGTGCAGGGTTAAAAAGGGGTGTAATGTTAACTCTGTGAAACGGGTTAGCCTTAAAGAGTAAATACAGGGTAGGAGCCTTGCAGTTTGGGTCAAAGTTCATCTCCATGGCAGAACCGCTCGCCTCTGACTGCTTTCACAGACCTGAATCCGGCTTTGTCTGGGAGGAGACTCGGCCTGGAGGCAGCTGGGTGGCTGGGCCAGGGCCTGGGCAGCTCAGGGGGTGGTTCTCTGAGAAGAGGGTGCAAGGCCGCTGGGAAAGAAAAGGCTTCTGTGCCTCGCTACCTCGTGAGGTCAGCACGACCCCCTGTGCTTCAGGCCTCCAGACCAGCACCACCTCCTGGCCTTCCCAGCAGGTGGGGGCGGGGCGGGGCAGCCGCCTGCTCCGGGGCGCTGAGGCCGGGAAGTGCCCACAGCTGCCCTCCCTCCTCCTCTGAGGCGACTGAGAGCCACCAAGGGCCCCACCACAAAGTGCAGCCAAGGGTGTCAGTTATATTTTCCCAAGAAGGATCCAGAACTTGTTTTTTTTTAAAGAAGGAGAGTATTTTATTTTTATTTTTTATATTTTTATTGATTTCAGAGAGGAAGGGAGAGGGAGAGAGAGAGAAACGTTAATGATGAGGATCATTGATCGGCTGCCTCCTGCACGCCCCCTACTGGGGATTGAGCCTGCAACCCAGGCATGTGCCCTTGACCAATAGCAAACCGGGACCCTCAGTCTGACGCTTTATCCACTGAGCCAAACCATCTAGGAGCAGAGCATTTTATTTTATTTTATTTTTTTTAATTCAGAGTAATAGGACTGAATGCGGCCCCAGCTTATTCTCAGACAAGTCTTGTGGTATCACCCTCGGAGGTCTGACCTCTGTTCGAGACAGTTCCAGGAAGACGTGGTGATTGGGGGGTCTCCGGGAGCGGGTGGCAGAAGGGAGTGTTTGTGTGGTCATGGGGCCTCCTCAGCACCGCTGGCCCCCTGCCCAGACCGTGAAGATGAAGCGGAGGGAAGCCAAGAGGCTGGTGGGGTCAGCGTCCTGCAGCGGGGCCCACAGGAGCCTTGTGGGGAGCGCAGCCTGGGTGTGGCCACTAATACCCCCCTCACCTCGCCCCTGCCATTCAGGTCCCTCCTGGCCTGGGTGCTGGGCTGGGGCAGGCTGGCCTGCTGACAGAACACGGGTGTTTATCAGGGCGGGCAGCCAGAGCTGGAGACTGGGAGGATGGTGTTGACCATGATACCATCAATTTAATTATTTAATCAGAGGCTGTGTCTGGAGGCTGTGGGCTGATGTGCTGGCCAGAGGCCAAGCTAGGCCCAGTGCAGGGGGTCGCAGGCCTTGAGGATGCCCAGCCTGCTGGCCCTTCTGGTCCCAGGTCTGTTGGTGACTGACCGCCATGTCAGACCAAAGCAGTGGGCTCCCAGAGGGTTTTGGCTGACACAGCCCCAGCCTGGAGTCCTCGTCCAGCCCTCCAGCCCCCACAGTGGCATGCAGCCAGCTTCCTTCTCTGGAGGTACTTAGAGTGCAGGCTCAGCCGACTCCCGCTCCTGTCAGGGAGCCAGTGGGAGACCCCCGGGCTGAGGGTGTTCTCATGTCCCCTTCGTTAATGAAGGTGGGGACAGGCCAAGCAGGAGCTGTAGTTGGTGCTGCACACTACACCCAGCCACAGCCCCGCACGGTCTCCACTCCCTGCTCATATGCCTTCATCCGGAAGCTTCCCAGGCCCACTGACCAGCTCTAACCCTTGGAGGTGGCAAGCTTCTGGGTCACATGTCTCCAGAAGCTTCCTATGCAGTGGCCACCATGAGCTCTGAGATGTGGGCCATGTCAGTGCTGCTCTCTGCTCTGTCCCAGTGCCTGGAGCTGCATGCCAGGCACATTGGAGGGGCCTGCTGAACACTCACGGTCTGAATGAATAGAGGAACCACTTTTTTAAGACCTTCCAGAGAGGGTATAGGTCTGCCCCTTGTTGGGGACAAGTTGGGTTTCCCCTCCTCCTCCTCTTCCTCCTCGTCGTTGTCATCCTCCTCCTCTTCACTTTTCAAGTTTTAACAAAGGCAGATGAAGGCAGGACAGGTCCCAGGTAGTGACAAACAGGCTGCCACCCCCCCCCACCCCCCAGCTTTTCTCGAGGTTTACCCGCCAGTGGGAGTAAAAAAAGTGTGCTTGCAGTGAAATGAGCTTATTTTTATTCGCCGAGACCTCCACTGCCTGCAGGGCTTTCCTCACGGATCTCTCTCTAGCCCGTTCCCAGCTCCCTGAATCACAGCACTCGGCCGGAGCACCCCTTACAAGGCCCTTCCTCACGGGCTGTGGCGGCCGTGTGAGCACATCCCCCTGGTCTCCCGTCAGGAGAGGAAGCAGGACCAGGGAGCGGAGTCGGGCGGCCCGGCCTGAGGCAGGGGGTGCGGGCGGAGGCTGCCCTCTCCTCCCTGACAGGTGTCCAGGCCGTGTGTGAGGTTCTGGGGACCAGGTCTCGATAAACAGCTGTTCCTCTGTTCCCCAGAAATGGTTCCCACACACCCAGAGCATTGCCTCCCCAGGGGCCCAGAGTGACCCTCCTGAGCTGCTCACACACAGCCCAGTCCCCTCCGGCCACCGCCAAGCCTGCTGAGGCTCTGGGCTTGCTTTTGAGTCCATACAACACTCCGGTCTCCTCACCGATGCCGGGAAAAGCACTCTGGCCCAGGGGCTGCTTTCTGGGGTTGGAGAGAGGATGCCGGGGAGAATCAGCTGTGGAGACTGCCCAGAGATACTGTGGTCTGGTGCTGACTTGGGACTGAACAGCATGCAAGTCTGTATTATGCTGTCGGTGGATTATCTGATGCCCAGATACCACGAGCACCCTGAGAGCACAGGGCCTGGCCCAGAGCAGGCAGGTCACGATGCCTGCTGAATGAACGAGTAAACGAAAGAATGAACCAAGGCAGGTGAGCCAGCAGGCCTCCTGCCCATCAGGGAGGTGGGTCCCAACGCCGGCAGGCAGCACCAGGCCAGGGCCCCCTCCTTCCATTTCCTCCTGATGTGCTTCACCAGGCGTCTCGCTCTGCCCCTTCCTGAGCGGAAAATGTGAGGCCTGGCCTTCAGCAGGACACGTGGGGGCGGGGAGCGGACATTACTCACCCCCCGGGCAGACAGGAAATCAGCACCAGGAGGACCGAGGGTCCTGCTTCCTTTTTCCTGCAGGGCCATCAGGAGTTGCGGGCTGGGCGGTGTCCTGGGGCGGCCCAGGGCCTCTTGTCTGAGTCTCTCCGATGAGCCGCCCTCTAGCCTCGGGCCCCCGGGACCCCTGGGTCTCAGCGCCTTCCCTCTGGGGAGCGGGAGCCCCAAGGCCCGGACCTCCCCCCGGTGCCCGTTACCCGCCGTGAGGCCTTTGGTCCTTTCGGGCTCCTGTCAGCCTGTCTGAAAGCCAGCCACTCCGTGACACACAAAGCGTGGCAAGCCCACTGCCTGCAGGAGCCTGCCCTTCGGCCAAAAGCTCTCTGAGGGCAGAAGGGGCATCTCTGTAGAAATGTATTTTTGCCTTATTTCTAAAGCATCACATTCAATGTAAACATTTTAGGAAAAAATAGAGAAAAAATGAAAATAAAGAATGCCAGTGTTGGGGGCATATTTTTCTAGGTCTTCCCCGTGTGTATAATCAATCTCACTTTCTTCAAAAAGGGGGGAGGGGACCATGTCGTGGCAGCCATCTTTTTCCCACTCAGTGTCGTTTGCCTCTGTGACTGAAGTGGAGTTTTTAAAGGGGGTTTGGCTAGTCAGTGACTGGGAGCCCCGTCCTGTGCCCTCTGGGTGCTGGGTCCCAAGCTGGTGACAGGTGGGGACACTGAGTCAGGGCTGTGACTGCTTTTCCTACAGAGAAGGAAGTGACCTGCCCAGAAGTAAGTGGCCTGACTCCAGAACCAGTGGTTGGGCCACTCATGGGGAAGGACATCAAAGTCTCCCTTTTGCTTCAGTAAAAACAGTTCCTCGCCCTGGCTGGTTTGGCTCAGTGGGCAGAGCATCAGCCTTTGGACTGAAGAGTCCGGTTCGATTCCAGTCAAGGGCACATGCAGGCCTCAGTTGCAGGCTTGATCCCCAGCCCTTGTTGTGGTGCATGTGGGAGGTAACCAATCGATGTTTCTCTCTCACCGATGTTTCTATCTCTGCCCTCTAAAAATCAATAAAAACATATTTTTTAAAGAAATGTGCCTCAGGGAGCA